GGGGGGGGGGGGGGGGGGGGGCATGCTAATAGAAATCGGCTTCAGGCAACACATCTCTTGTCAGGAGGAAGAGGCCATTCCACTGCCATTTGTGACACAGCTCTTCTTGGCCCAGTTAGTTCAGGGGCCAGAGCATGGGGCAACCGAGGCCCAGGCCACAGGCTAGAGCACAGGAGAGTGATGGGACTTGCTCTGTCCCAGAGGCCTGGGAGGCTACCATGTGTGGTGCACTCTCAAGGGTATGAATGGCTCCTTGCACACCTTCTCTATACCTCACAGGATCAAGGCCACACAAAGTGGATGGTCCATTTAGGGAGTGTTGACTGAGGACCTACTGTGACAAACACTTTAGGATAGAAGACGCAGCCCTACCCTTAGGGACTTACTCATCAGGGATGAAGAATAGGCTTGACCCAGGAAACCCCTAGACAGCAGGTCAAAAGCAAATGCCATGCTGTGGGGCAAAGGCCATTAGGGTTAGCAGAGATTCTAAAACAGGAGAAAAGAAATAGTCTGGAAGCTTTTGTGGAGGAAGTGGGGTTTGAATTCACCCTTGATGGACCATGGCAATATTTGAAGGGTCTCAATGAGGTGGAGGAACGTGTTCTATAATATCAGCTTTCTAAAGAGAGTTCCACCTGGTCTTTGCACAAGTAGACCATTCAACAGCCCCACCCCAGCCATAGTCATTCAACATACACCTAATATTGTTTGCATGCCAGGCCTTGCCCTGAGCTCTAAGAACAAAGAAATGAATCAGTCATAAATCCTGCCCTTGGGGAGCTCTCGGGCTATTGGGGGAAGACAGATAGGTTAGACACTTACAATACTGTGGGATCACAATTACAATAGGGCTGTGATTTCTTCATTCATCAGGTGAGAGGTAGGTTATGCTAACCTCATACCTGGTGTTACATTGGTGCTATGTAACTTTGCCACCCCTTTCATCAAGTGGTGGAATGTATTTTCTCATCTTTTGTTTCTGTGCTGACTTTGTAACTTGCTTTGACAAATAGCAAGTGGCAGAAGTAGCACTGTGCTACTTTTGAGTCTAGGCCTTAAAAGACCTTGCAGCTTCCTCTCTCACCCTCTTGGAATGCCGTGTCACTATGTGAGGAAGCCTAAGCTGGCCTGCTGGAAGATGAGACCATGGAGAACATACATGAGCTCTCTACCAAGTCTAGAATCTCTGGATTCTGGTAGGGTTTGGCCAACTGGAGTCCCCAGCAGAGTATATAGTCCCCTAGCTTCCTCCCTGAAGTTACATCACGGGCTGTCTGCATCTCTTGACCAAGGTACCTAGCTCCTATCAGGCTGCCCTTACCACAGCTCTCTTTGCCTCCAGATTCTAGTAATTGCTCCCCTCCCCTACTACTTTAGACCTAAAGGTAGTAACTAGTGCCCTAACATTACTCACTGGAGTATTGCCCTATCTCTAGTCCCTGTTTTAAATAAGCCCTTTACTAAACTCTTCTCAAGTTACTCAAATTACCTGGAGACTGGGGATGGGGAGAAATTATGTTTGGCTGGGAAGCCCCAGGACATGGATGCTTTGTAAAAGTAGCTCAAGGCACTCAAGTCCTCTCCCTCACCTGTGCTCTCTTGGGCACTCCTTCCCTTTGCCCCAGGCTTCCTCCTCCAGCAAGGCTTCCAGCCCTTCTCTGAGCTATCACACTACCTTGCTGGCGAGTAGTAGGTGCTCTTTAAACCTTGGACAACAAAAGAATGAAAGTGTACATTTGTATAAATATTCATTCCATAAATACCAATGTCCCCTCTGTGCCTCCCTATTTGTTGGG